GTCTTGTTCATTAATTTTTCTCGTTCTATTTCTTTCTGCTCGTCAATCTGGATTGAGTATATTTGCTTAAAACTTTGCGTTCACAGCTATATCACGCTGGAAGTCAGTTATTTTGCGGTGACGCCATGGATGCCAAAGCGGCTCAGAGGTTGCAATTCTTCACCTTGATTCATTACGAAAAGATTGGGAGGAAATTCGGTGGTTCTGTGAAATTCTCTCGAGCTTTTAAAGAGCCGCAGAAGCTTCAGGCTTTTGTTTTGCGGCCTGCAACTGCAAGACCTTCCCGCAACCGGCGCCGGGCGGCCCCTTTGGAGGTTTCTTGTTCCTATGACAATTTGCCAGGTGGTTGTGAACAGCAATACATTTTGACCAAAAATTTGGCTTTCCCAGTTTTTTTTCCCCAAACGTACTATTCATTATTTGATCAAACCAATATCATGACTGGGTTGTCCTCTTGCTCTTCCATTATTGGTTCCCTTTCCTCTTATTACACAAAGAGACCTCTTATTCGAGGAATTAATATATGCTAATTATGAAGGAGTCACGGGTAACCTCAAGAAATTACAATTAGCTATAGTTGAAGGCTGCAGCATATTGGGATGAAGGAACCATGCCATAACTGTACGGAGCTGCAAATTTGTGTCCGAAGTACTTTTGTACAAGTGATTAACTTTTCTTGAGATTTTTCTTATTGCAACGGTCATTAGATAGATGCCATACTGAACTCGTCAAAATTACCAGTCACCAAGGTTTTAACTCCTTTCTGAAGGCTGCAAAACATTTACAAATAAGTGTCATCAGAAGCTAGATGTTTTTTGTTAGGAAACTAGTTTAAATGTTTGGGCATAGGTATTTGAGACTAAACAGAGTGGAATATCTATATTGGAACACAAGATGTGATCATTGTGAAAGGACAGTAGGCTCACCAGCTGGAACCTTGTGACTGGTTTCTGTCAAGGTGATCAGTGTAACAACACATTTCTGAATTGTGAAATAGATGTTATTGTCTTCGATTTCAACTACTTGCTCCTCCAATCAATAGTTTTAGCTAGAGAAAGTCTCTTCAAAGATTTCGCGTGGAAGAGCATCTGGTTTGATGCAGAGTAGTAATTACTTAAATTTGCCTGCAAGACATTTAGCATATTACGTCACTATTACAAGTATTAGCTATATTGATTATTAATAGCATATTTCAAATATCACTCTTGTAGCTTTGACATTGGACTCTGGAAGTTTAGAGGCCCCTCCTGATGAAGAATTAATGTTACAGGTAAATTGTGATACAATTTGTCTTTTTCAGTTGAGCCAATTAGTCTAGCGGTGCGACATCTTTTTCTTTATGCTGTCAATGGAAGGCACAAAAAATGGTAGCTTTAGCTCAGTTTGTTGCTTTTCTAAGCAACTATATCCCATTATCTTACTTGAAGTCAATAAAATTGCAGACTAAGACACAAGAGATCGAGCCTTATTTAAATGGACGCTGTATATATCTTGTTGGTCAGTCTCTTGGTTGAAGTCCTTGTACTTACATAGTATACTTTGGAAGTACGATTTCCTTGGCATTAATATTCTGAATTCGACATGCAGGAATGATGGGGTCTGGGAAGACAACTGTTGGGAAGATTTTGTCACAAGTGCTTAGTTATTCCTTTTTTGATAGGTTAGTGAGTGGTCCACTGTTCTTTTTTTAAATCCAGAATTAAAAAATAATAATAATTCAAGGGAAGTGAATATTGCATCAGTTGGTACCTGAAGACTCAAAGGCAGGAGAAAGAACGAACTTTGGCTACAAAACAGTCTATAAATTTCATCATGTTCAATATTCAATTGGAGCTTTAGATGGTGATAATGGGCGATTAATTGTAAAGGCTCTAAGAAGACACAACATGTGTATAACAGTTTTTGAAAGATAATAACATGGTCTCAATTAACCTGAGGACTATGGTCTACTTTGGTGTATACCATTATGATTAAAAGTTGTGATATTCCTTGTCATGATACAAGAGTCTAATTTGATGGACACGTTACGTATGGGCTGAATATTTTCTGCACTTGGTGCCTTCATGAATGCTTTAGTGATGCATTGGTGGAAGATGAGCTTGGTGGAACTTCTGTAGCTGAGATCTTCAAGCACTATGGAGAGGGTTTCTTCAGGGACAAGGAGGTCAGTTAATAAGCACAACTTTTCCAATTTATATTATCACGGTGTTTGGATTTTCTTTTTTTTTTTTTCCAAAAAAAGAAAAGTATTTTGAAGTCTCAGACCACCCCACTAATATCTTGATAATCAAAGTCATTGTTCATACCTATTCTTCTACAATTTCAGAGTGAGGTGTTGCGTAAGCTGTCACTTATGCATAGACGTGTAATTTCTACTGGTGGAGGTGCTGTTGTGAGGCCCATCAATTGGTACAACAACTTTCATGCGAATAAGAGAAATTTTATCTTCACATATTTTGTGATTAACTGCATTCCCAATTTAGTCCATACATGTTATTCAATCTTCGTCATATGTGGAATGCCAGGAAATATATGCACAAGGGCATTACTGTTTGGTTGGATGTACCTTTAGAAGCCTTGGCCCGGAGAATTGCAGCTGTGGGAACTAATTCTCGCCCACTTCTGCATTATGAAGCAGGAGATGCGTACACACGGGTGGTTATTTTTCTTCCATTCTTAGTTCTCCCTCCCTTTGCTTATATAATCATTATGGACAGCTTAAGGAATCCTTCTTAATGCCTCAACCTAAATTAATGTCACTGGCTAAATTACTATTCCACTAAATAATTCAGCCGTTACTTGCAGGCTTTGATGCGTTTGTCTACACTTTTCGAAGAAAGAGGTGAAGCATATGCCAATGCCAATGCTCGAGTGTCCTTGGAAAGTATGCCCTGTCAAACTCTTTTCATTTGTAAGAGAAACTGGGGTTCTGTTCATTATTTGTGGGAACACAACGTAATGGGACTTCCTGTTTGTTGAGACTTAGGCAAGTGTCGTGAAGGTGTAAAATACAACCCAAATCTTTGGCCTTATTATTGGTGCATTAGGCAAGATTTTCCCCTGAATCATGAATAATCTTCCTACTCTACTTTGTCCCCTCCTCACCCTCTCTCTTCGAAAAGCAAAAAGCCCCGACAAATTTTCTGTCACATCCCATTTTTATGCGATGTTCCGTTGCTGATGGTACAGTGTTGTTGTTTTGTACAGATATAGCTGCAAAACTGGGCTGTAGAGATGTGGCAGATATCTCGCCGACTACTATTGCTATTGAGGTCATTATCTTTCTCTGCCTGTTGCCCGATTACTGGCCTTCTTATTCAGGTCCTTTTTGCTGAAGTTGAATATATATTTTTGTTATCTTTGATGCTTATCTATGCTGTATTTACCATCAGGCGCTAGAACAAATTGAGTGCTTTCTGAGGAGTGAAGAAAGCCACTATGCCGGTTGCTAGCTCAAACATTGACGTGAGCCTGTGATTATGATATAATTACGTGCGTCATGGCACCCGTTTCTAATTTGTGTTAGGGTGATCTGACGCTCCATGGCGAGTGTAACTTCTAAGTTCTCAGTTGTTTTTGTATAGTGTGAACGCGGATCTTTAGAAGTGTATTGTATTTTGTCATATGTATGCCTTTCATGAGTTTCCTTGTAATCCTTTGCAGCGTGACGAAGGAAGAAAGCATGCAATGCAAGATGTTCCCTTTATGCAAAAACAATATCCAACAAAATGAAGTCAATGAAATTGCAGCCACCATCTGTCAAGCTTTATTTGTTATGCTCTGGGTTAGAATAGACTACAATTGGTATACGGCGCGAAAAGCAACATTTGGTTCAAAAATTAATGGCGATCACTTCAGTGAAGAATATAAAATTTATAAAAGCTATTGTAGGTTACATATGCTTTTTTATATATTTTGTTAGACAATGATGTTAGTTCACGAATCTTGCAATTTTGTAGACTTCATACCACTTTTTTTTTATTAATTATTTTACATATCTCACTAGTTAATTACTTTTTTTCCTTTCATTTACATATTTGAATTGAATAGGATTTTTTTTTCCCGAAGAAATATATTCACACATTATGAAAGAAAAGTAGGACAAGAGAACATCAAATGCATCGTCGTCGTGGCTTCTGGCCCGCTTAATTGTGTTGGCTTCGGTGATCCTTCTTTGTTTTTTTTTTTTGTGTGCCAACGGTAATCATATCTAATTAATTATTATCAGTGATCATCATTTAAGACCCGCGCAATTTCTATCGGCAATCATATCGAAAAGCACTTCAATTTCTTTCTAATTTTTTATGAGAATATATTTCATTCAAAACGTAGTTTGTGACTCTGTGTTTGGGGCTTGTAGTTCTTTAAAACAGTTTCCAACTACTTTTTTTGTTTTTTTGGTTTCTCTACTTGCTTCGGAAGCTCTAATTTTAAATTATCTACGGAATAAATCATGTGCTGCTTTTAAATATATTTTATCAAAACCATTAAGATATTCCTTACATTTTTAAAATATACAGTAATATTCTTTTAAGTAAAAGTCCACTTATGCTTTAGTTTAAGCTTTTTTTAAAAAAATAAAAATAAAAATAAACCACTATTTTTTCCAAAATGTTTTCAAAGAGGAGTATTTTACTAAAAAAACTTAAAATTATACTAAAATAAGTAATTTAAGGATAATTTTAATGGCATAAAAAATTATATATTTATTTCCCTTTATTAATCCATTTATTTTCTTATTATTAAAAATTTTACAATACACCAAACGCTATTGTTGAGATGGCCGAGTTGGTCTAAGGCGCCAGATTAAGGTTCTGGTCCGAAAGGGCGTGGGTTCAAATCCCACTCTCAACATAATCGCATTTATTTTACTTTTATTTCAAAATTATCTTTTGCGAATTTTTATTAGAAATGTTATTCGTCCATCCTCAACCTTGAGACGGAGCAGAGCGCCAAGGGATAATGTGGGTGACGTGCATGGCATCTACATCTCTGCCTAAGCCCCTCTTCACTAACACTCAGTATTACTTTCATCCCCGCCCCCGAAGATGCCTCAAAATCAACCTTCCAATCCCAACCTGGCGAATCAGAGCTTCATCTGCCGCTCCTGGCGTCGAACTCAATACTCTTGAATCTGCCATTTCTCAGGTTCCATTTTTCATATCATTGCCCGCTCCTCCGTCACTTCTTAGTACTTTGATTCCTTGGTTTCCGCTCCTTTACGAGTTGCTTGTGTTAGTTATTTTTGTATTCAGTCAGTTGATTTAATATTAGAGAGGATGTGACAGTCCGGAAGAATTAGGTTTCAGAGCATACAATATGAAGGCTTCGTGAAAAATGAGTTCGATTGCCATTCCTTGTCTTTATTTACTTATTTGCTCCCATGCGAACCAAGTCATTTAAAATCATGAATTATAAGATAATTCGCTAAGTTCGTTTATGATGTTAGGTCCTGTCGTCTTTGATGTGTAATTGAAACTTGAGAGGCATATATATTTTGCTTGCAGAAAGATAGTAATGCTGTTAAGGTGGTGCTTGATCAGCTGAGTGAAGTTGGGTGGGCTAAGAAATGGAGTTCTCAGCCATATGTTTCACGTCGTACGGTCAGTCTCCATTACAAGTGTGAAGTTCTGGGGAAGTGCCATCCAAACATTTGACTCATCTTCCAATTCGTGCATTCATGCTCATAAATATAATGTATACTTGCTCAATGCTTCCATTACGTACTCGTATGTAAACTTGATTTGTCGTGCAAGTTTTGACTGCTAACTCTGTGCACCAGACATCACTTCGAGAGCTGACTTCTCTAGGATTAAAAAACGCCGAGAATCTTGCAATCCCGAGTGTCAGGAATGATGTGAGTTCTGGCAATTATTTTAGTTTCGAATGGAATGACCAATACTTTTAGTTTGTGTAAGATTGAATTAGTTAAAGTTCTTATGCAACATATCTTGGTTGCAATCTTTTTCATGAAGAAATAGCATTGGAATTTCTTGTATGCGTACTTGAAGCAGTTCAATCTAATCTTTTAGAGGTCTTGTATCTCTAATTATGCAGGCAGCTTTTCTTTTTACGGTGGTGGGAACAACTGGATTTTTGGCTGTTCTAGCTAGCCAGCTTCCTGGGGTATCTCCAACACCCTGCTTCTGTATTTATGTCTGTATCCGGAAAGAGATCTTGTTAACCCGTCTTAGAACTGTGATGGAATGGAATTTTGTTGAAGCAAGGAATTCAACAGAAGTTTAATGTAATGTGCCTTGCATTTTCGTCTTTAATAAGTGCTGATTCTGTAGGATTGGGGATTCTTTGTTCCATACTTGATTGGAAGTATTTCCTTAGTGGTTTTGGCTGTGGGTAGCATATCACCTGGGTAAGTTTATTTTGAATTAGTTGGGAGTGAATGCCTTCCATATTCAGTGCTTGCCTTAACATATTAATGCTTTTGTATGTTTTCACAGGCTTCTCCAAGCTGCAATCAGCAGCTTTTCATCAGTTTTTCCTGATTACCAAGAGAGAATCGCCAGACATGAAGCAGCTCACTTTTTGAGTACTGTTTCTTTTCCCTTTTTGTGTTTACTTGCTCAAAGTGAAAGCATTATATATTTGCAACATTTCGTCATAGTCTCGAACTAATGAATAGCTGTTTGACCTTTGATCATTATGTGTAATTCTAGCTGCTTATCTGCTTGGCCTACCCATCCTGAGCTATTCGCTGGATATTGGGAAAGAGCATGTAAATCTAATTGATGAGAGGCTCGAAAAGCTCATCTATAGCGGGCAGCTTGATGCTAAGGAGCTAGATAGGTGCTTACTTGGCAGCTTTATTTAAGCATTTACTCTTAAAAGCTGCACAACGGGACATGCCAAATTATGGCTTTCAAGAACCAAAGACCAAAATAATAACAACAACAATAAAAGCTTGATTGTAATCGTACATTTTAGATTGGCTGTTGTGGCGATGGCTGGATTGGCGGCTGAAGGTTTAACATACGACAAGGTGGTTGGTCAATCTGCTGATCTCTTCACTCTCCAGGTTTGACATCGCTGTTCTAAGATTTGGATGATGTTATGCTCAATTATTGTCTCAACAATTGTGCTTCTTGTTTTCCTTTAGAGGTTTATAAACCGAAGCAAGCCGCAACTCAGCAAAGATCAACAACAAAATCTCACTAGATGGGCTGTGGGTTCTTCCAAACTAAAAGCCATGCAATGGATTTTATTATGGATTCGAGAGTTTGAATCACATCAGGATTCAATATATCCTTTCTTTTAATACATTTCTCCTGTGGTGAAATGTTTTAATGCGTTTTTGCACTTGACTGCTGATGCTTGCAGGTTTTGCTCGCTGCTTCTCTGTTGAAAAATAACAAGGTGACACATGAAGCCTTAATAAAAGCTATGTCAAATAAGGCAAGCGTACTGGAATGCATCAAGGCAATCGAGAGTGCGGAGTAGCACTACACCGAACCTTTCTAAGCCGTAAAGTGCGGAACTCAGAAGTATACGTCTTTACGATGAACCATACTTGAAACATGAAAACCAAGTACCTTTTTTTTTTTGCCGAAAAAACCAATTACTTCAAATATCAGACTTCGGTTTATCTCTCTTATCTTCACACGCAGCGAGCAGCGGAGGAGATTAAACTTTACATTGTTGAATCTTCAATTAGTTCGTAAGTTGCTGGCCTTTTTTGTTACTCTTATGCTTGTTTTAGTCTTGCGACAAAGTTGGCCTATATATGTCTTGATTGTAATGTTTCAGCACGTTCAGATGAGTGATTGTTTGGTTTATATCTTCCCGTGAATAAGTGCTTGTTTGGCTCATAGTTAGAGACGAATTTTTACAATTTTTTATGCGAATTTATTTTTTATACATTTGATTCTTTTAATTTTATATAAAATTTCAATTTAATCTTTTAGCTTTAAAAAGTATACTTTAATCCTTTAAACCTAAAATTGTAAGATTTAAATGATTTTTTTTTTATAACATTCGTGGCTATTTTGAAAATTAGACTTAATATATTTGACATTTAATAATGTTTTGCCAATATTCAAGAATCCAATATCATCATTTTTGGTTAATAATTTTAAGATTAAATGACTACTTTTTTTTAAAAAATTAAGAGACCAAAATAAAACTTCATGTAAAGTTAAAGAACTAAAGTATAATTTAATTTTTAATGATTTTCACATTCCTTTGAAGTCACCTTACTTTTATTTGGCTTTTGCGATTTCAACTTTCCCACGAATTACTCCGTCGCCCGTTCTTTTGCCCCCTCCAATGAAAACCGTGTCATTATATCAACATATGCACACGAAATTCCCTTAATCTTTTATCATCTACCACCTCATTAATAAGAGGCGGTTGATGATCAAGCTAATACAACTATTAAAACCACGTCTTGACCGAGTCCAATGAGAGTTCAAACACACACTAAATGTACAAAATAAATAAAATAATTAAACAAAGCAATGTTTTATTTCGTACAAGAAGTGGCCAATATTGCACCGTGATATTCTTCCGAGCTCGTCCTGACAAGTTCATGCTCTGCTTTTTTTTTTTTGGCAATATGGCCAATCCTCATAATTTTGTATTACAATAATAAATAATTACAGAGAAGCATCCTACTTTCATAAATTTGTTTCTTTTCCTTTTTTTTTCTCTCTGTTTTTTTTGGGGGACTCGCCTTTGATTGACCAAAATCAGCCATGCTCCAAGCAGATTTCCAATTATTGTTACCGATGCAAGGCAAACACATCCTACTTAACTACCAAATAGCCGAGGATTCCTTATTCAAAGTCGCCCATACATTGCTAGCATATCTTTAAGCTTAGCGGCCTCTCTTTCCAACCCATCAAATCTCACAGACCTTGGAATTCTCCAGCCCCAGTTTCCGAACTGTATTTATTAAAAGAAATCAAGGGGCATGAATGAGATTATTCTTCTAAGAAATTCAAGGGGAAAGTTGTGGCAGCAACTTCCCAAAAGCTTTTCAGTTACAAGGCATCTAAAAGTCCCTTTTCTTTTCTTTAAAAGAAAAGTATGAGGAAGTATGGTTTGCTTGAGGCCAAAAATAATAGTGTTCCTAAAACAGACTAATAAAGACTTCGCATGAAAGCTTTTACCTGAGTTGCAGGAATATTCATCCTTGCAGAATTCCCAAGTCCGAGAATATCCTGCATAGGTATTATTGCTGTCTGAGCAACAGAAGACAGTACCTTCTGAATTAACGCCCATGAGACGTCATCCTCCCCTGTTAATGAAAGGTACCATGATACCTGAAACTTGTACACAATGATAGAAGCAGATGTTAGCCTTCTCCAAGATTTTGTACGACAAATTTTTTACTAATACAGATAGCACCGACATTGGACTTCTCTTCTTGCTTCAAAGCTTCCCACCAACCCCTGATCTGCAGGAGAAAAGTCAATGTTTCTACATCAAGAAAGATAATAAGATACAACGATTATCATGTGATAAGTAGAATATACAAGTCTTTGTTCCACCACCCAAGCACAAACCAGAGCCCTCTTTCAGAATGCATGTATGAAGCATTAGGAAAAAATGTGGATTAAGAAGTTCTTACTGTGTCATTGTCGTGAGTCCCTGTATACACAACTTGATTGCACTCATGGTTGTGGGGCAAATGAGGGTTATCAGCATCACCACCAAATGCTGGACAAAAGGGAAAAATTTTTAAGGCACCAAGACTCATGCAGCAATCCTCAGTCTGGTGATGGAAGGACGTAAAACAAAATTAACTCTCACCAAATTGCAGAACAGCCATTCCAGGTGCTCCGATATATTTTCTTAGCTGAACTACATCCTCAGTAATAACTCCCTGCCACGTAACCAAAAAAATTACAAGACTCTGGTACAGATGAGTTGAAAAATTATCAGAATCAAAATTCATTTAGGTAATACATACCAAGTCTTCTGCTACTATATTAATCTTTCCAACTGCTCTGAAAATGGCATCAAAGAAGAACTTTCCAGGTCCTACCTATCATTTCAATGCGATGGATTTAGAAGATGAAAGATGTAGGGAAGATTATGGATTGATAAAACAAATAAAAGGCAGAGGTGAAGAACCAAGTGGCAGGGACCTAACCTTCCATTTTCCAACCATTGCTACTTTAGCTTCTGCAGAGGCCAGACACTTGTTAACCAATCATGACCAAAAAACTGAAATCAACTTAGAGTTATAGGGTATACTAACCAGAGGGAACCGCCCAATATCCAGCAAATCCTCTAAAGTGATCAATTCTGAATTCATCATATACATTTTGAGCACGTCGCATGCGGCGTATCCACCATGAGTATCCCTCTTTTTCCATGGCATTCCAATCATACAGAGGGCTTTTGAAAAATCAGAATGTACAAACAAATACAAGAAATCAGTTATTTAAATGGAACAGGAGGTCATTTACAATCTGAATTCATCATAGGGTGAAAGCAATTAAAAAATTGTTTTAGAGGAGGAGGAGGGGTAAATAACAGGACAAATAATTGCCGAAAAGGAACAGCAGAATTATCAGGTGGCATTTATGGTCATAACTGGTTGAAAAAGCATCGAAAGAGAGATACAAGAAAATTCCACTGGTAAAATGGAGAGATGTCTTCCCAACCTTTGTTTGAGCACGATAAAAAATCAAAACATCTTAAATAAAGAGGAAGGGTAATTTAAGTTAGCATCAGTGCAAGAATTACTGGTAGCATATGGCTAATTAATGTCCAACCTGCCCCACAGCTGACCAGTTTCACTGAATGCATCAGGAGGAACACCGCTAACTAAAAGAGGGAAACCTCTCCGGTTCTGCAAGACAAGTAGGGAACTTCTGGTGATCGAACAGGTTAAAGTGGCCTTAAAAACATGCTCAGAACAGACTTCGGAATAATATTTTAACTCTTTTCAGGCTACCAACCAGCAGAAATTGGTTCTTATTTGCCCAAACATCTGCACTGTGATAACCCACATATATGGGCATGTCTCCCATTATCTTCACTCCCCTACTTTGGGCATACTTACGAACTTTCTGCCATTGCCTCTGAAACAAGAACTGTTGTGCAATAAATACTTCAATCTGCATGGTAAACGCACAAGTGACCCATCATGACCACTTCTAACTTAAAGTATGCATACAACGTGAAAGTGGTAATGATAGTTATAGCTGATTTCTAATCTTACAAAATCTTTCTTGAGTTGGTAAATATCTTCTAGAGCTACAAGATGTCGGTTTCTCAAAGGTTCAGGCCAATCGTACCAGCTCAATGTGCTCAGACAGTCATCAATAGCAGCAAAATAAGCTGCATCTTCAAGCCAGCCTAAAACATAGAAAAACTATTACAGCATTACATGAAACTAACCTCCACTGAATTTCAACAAACCTTGCATAAAAGCCTTGGAACCAGGAATTTTCATGGTATTCAGACTGAGGCATATATTCTTGTATACATATTTTGGGAAAAGATATGCACATGCAATTTTTGTCGTTTAAAATCTCTTACTTATTACAACCTGTCAACACGATCCCTGATGTTTCCAATTTTTACACCCTATAATCTAATAGCCCATAAACTTCACACCCCCCCCCCCCCCAACAGAGCAGGAAATACAGGGAAAAATTAAATCTTATTGCATTGTATTCAACTCAATTATTACCACCACAACCACAATAGTTTTTCCAAATTTTGTTCCCCAATTTCACAATGCTCTCGTACATAACAAAAAATTATTTGTTATATCCAACTTACCAAGTTTAAATGAAGCATGTAGTATAGATACCAAAGCAAAGAACATACGACTATAAACAAAAGAAGAATAGTAACTCATTAAGTGTCTCACTTGATATGTTAGGGTCCCTACGAAAATTATCAAGTTGCTTTTTAAGTTCCCCTTCACTTGAAATGAGCCTCTTTGCAGCCTGCATATAAGTTTCAATGAGAGACTTAAAATAAAGTACCAGAAGCATGTTTATTGACATAAAGGAAATAGTGTAACTGTGGCATCCCAAATAGCCACATAGAATCTTACAAGCCTCTGCAAGCCAACGTAAGACTAACAGTTTCACTAGTCTGCCATCAGCAGCTGTGATTTTATAAACCCACCGCAGTGGAACTAGACTTCTCAACTATGATGACATGGTATTTGTGGATTACTATTAAAGTGAAAATTCTGACAACATAAAGTTTAAAATCACAAAAAGCTGAGTATGCTACTGAATAAAGTTCAAATTGCAAGAACTGGCACGAGAGATGAAATGACTTTAAACATTCTTGTGCTGATTTTCTTCTCCTTTGCAGTACAGTAAAGTCTGTTAACCAAACTTTTGCCCCACACCAAGCTCAATCTTCAAGCCCTTTGACACACTTTACAAGGGGATGGGGAGTAATAATCGATTGATAATTTGAGCATCAAGTTACAAGAGACTAGGAAATTTTTTTCATTAGTTAATTGTTCAACCAAGGTAGCCTACAGATACCTTTTTCCTTAAGCACAAAAGAATATGAGCAATAAAGATGCTTTGAATAACTTACTTTAGCAATCAAAGGATCCTTAAGATCAGCAACAAGTGAGAAATTCACACGTTCAGCATCACTGCATGCATTTAATGTTAAAGATATGATAGAAAAACAATAAGACCCGAAAAGGAGGTCAAAACTACGTTCTCGACTCATATTAACATTCCTCACATTGGTTTTGGAAGCTCATCCTTATACAACAATCCATCATCAACAAGCTCCTCTAGAGAGATCAAGAGGGTGTTGCCACAATTTGCATCCTGAAAGGAAACATCAAAGCTTATTCTCTTATGCACGTGAGTAATATAGTTAAGCCTTGATCCTTGACAACTCCCCGACACCCAAAGCAGTCGTAACACACACACAGACATGCAGAGGGTGAATGGACACTGTGTGCTTATGAGAAATTATACTTGTAATATTCTAAAAAGGAGAGGAGGATTGGACATCATATTTGACATCTTCCGATGGTCCTTTCTACTGACTACATCCAACTGTTCCTAACTACGCTGTCGATAAAAAATTTTGATATAGAGATAGGCGCCAATGTCTAACTGCAAAAAATTGGTAACCTGGCCTGCGTAAGGGCATCCATCTTCATTGGCCTTTCTCCCGGGAGGTACAAGAGGTAGGACCTGCATGGAATGCACTAGAGTTAAACAATAAAATGAAGGAATATCAACCAAAATATTTAAATTGGATTAGAAAGGTAGCAAAATAACTTGAAAGTGGCGGCTAACGCAGATTTTGTAATTTCTTGTATTCATACATCAGAATAAACTTGCCTTCGTATCCTTTATCTTTTTCTTTTTTGTCACTTCATAATATACAAATTTCCCGATCACACAGTTTATTAAGAATGACTAAGCCCAAGCAACGATGACCATAGTGCTGCATAGTGGTTATTTCGATAACTGTCCACACAAAGGAGCTAAAGGGAAGCGGTCATGACCTGCCAAACGGAGCAACCGGCAGCGTGAAGCCAGTCAATGAAGCGAAAGGCCTCGTCTCCGAGATCACCAATTCCATAGGGACCTCCAAACGACGTCGGATGGAGTAGAATTCCGGCTCTTCTCTGATCGTCCGGGCCGGGCTTGGGCAGCCAATTGCCGTAATCGTCAGGTAAATCCTCGCCGACGCTGCCTTGAGCCAAAACACTCTGGCAATGTAGCAGCGAATGAGTTGGCTTGGATTTGAACACAGCGGAGCCGAAGGGCTTAAGAGACGTCGTTGGATGGAGGAGGCCGGCCCGACTGTAGGAGAGAGCGCACCATGCTTGCAGGTAGGGGGCTGAGATGGATATCGCCATCTATCTGGAATTGTGCTTTGCACATAAATCTGACGAGGAAAAGAGCCTCTATATAAATTGATTGCAACGTAGATGCGCTGAGGCCCACCCCACAAGGTACAGGTGGAGTAGACTCTTGACTTGAATACACGTGCCAACAGAAGGAGTCCGATGTTCCAAGGGTTCCTCTTCCGCTGTTTTTTGTCTGGTGCCCTCCAATATGTCAACAAACCCTGCTTCTTAGTTCTTTCTGGAAATACAGTTCTACATATAAGATGTTAGTTTATTTTATCTTTTAAATATATACCTGGTTTCAAAAAATATTTTCTTAATTATAAGATAATTTTATTCAAGTATGATTAATAAAGGTAATTTTAGGAAAGTCACATATATTTATCATAAAGATAACTCAATCACTTTATTATTTTTTAAATTAGTATCTAGCGTTATAAAAGAGGTAGTATAATTTTTCTTAATTTATAGCTAAAAACTGAATTGTGTTCTGATAAACGATGAAATCGAGCGGTTCTATGTATTTCATAAGCTTGAACTGAGACAGATTTTAAAAAAAATAATAAATGGTAAAACAATTGAACTAGTTGTTGGCTAAAAACTGGCAACAAAAATATACTGGTCCTTATATAAAACCCATTAACTAATGAATTTTATTAATTTTTAAATTAGCTATCTAACTGTTATAAAGATAGTATAATTTTTCTTAAATAGCATTTATAGCTAGTACACTGAAGTGTGTTCTGATCAACGATGAAATTCGAGCCAGTTTCTATGGCATTTTCATAAGCCTGAACTTGAGACATGATTTAAAAAAAATAAAATAAATGGTAAAACCTTGAACTATGTTTGGCTAAAAAACCTGGCAAAAAAAATATTATTATCTTATCAAGTCAGTAATAATTCTATAATTAAACTTTCATAAATTACGACTTACGGCCTTAATTATAAGACTTTGTTACTATAAACAAGATCTTATAATTAAGATTAAAAGTAATATATTATCATTTTTTTTTCGTAAACGAGATTTAGATTGCTCTTCGACTAGATTAGTATAGTTAGACTTGAGTTAGAATCAAAGGATGGAAAATCTTTGGGGCCACTCGCTGTACTGCCAGATCCAAAAAATATAGATAAAAAATCGGTGCATTAGAATCCATCAACTCCTCGCTTATCATCCCAGAATAATTATATTTTTTATCGAGTAATTACTATGATGACATGATCCGAACCGTACAGTAAATACATGTGAACACCGCAACAACTAAAACTTGTAAACTAGCAACTCAACAACTCGCAGAAGGGAAGGGCATAATTTTAGCCAGAGAAAATAAGGCACTGGACAATTTTGGTTTGGTGTATAAATAAGTATGACTAAGCTCCTTCCGCAGCGTCATTAATATTTACTGATTTACCACCATCCATCTTTGATGGTAACTTAACTCCAGCGGTCTCCAAGTTGTGTCCAGAAATAACATAGACAAGAAAAGCCAAGACACAATACAGGGAAAGGAGAAGGGCAGAACGAAGTAGATACAGAGAATCAGAGTTCGTCAGGCCAGTCGCTTTCATAGAATAAGCCATCGACGATTTGATCAATTACGGCGTCGATGAAGGAGTTGCAGCCGACGGAGAAGATCCGACCCACTCTGGTTCGGGCGCTGGAGAACCATGCAAACAGAGCCGCACATGCTACTGCCCCCAAGCACACGCCTCCTGCTTCTGTTAATCCTTCAATGTCCATTTTCCCAAACACAGAGCTTCCCGTCATTAATTCTTTTGTCACCGTCACTGCAAACACCATCTGCACCAATCACAATCCCCCCTTCATCACAATTAACATCTCAGAAGTGAATATATATACGGTGATGCTGCACCTCACAAACTCAAATAAAAACTAGGCACAATCAGAATGGTACTTGTTACTAAATCATGAACTTCTTAAACTTTCAAACGAATTAAACCTGTTTTTCCCCCTTGCTAATAGATTTGATGGAAAGCCTCAAGGTATTTGCTTACCATGGCGAGGCGACCGGAGATGGTCTCGAAATCTTGACTTTTCTTATAGCTCTCAATATAGTCGGACAGCGTCGCGAAGAACGGGGATACGTCATCGGCACCGTCATTGCCATCGTTCCTAGTCTTGATCACTCCGACTGGATCAGAGCCGTACGCTCTCAAGTTACTCAATCGCGGCTGCAATACGATATTGGTGCTTTCTGACTCCGGAGTCGTTTTGGGTTCAGGAACCGAAACCTTGACCGGACCAGACTGCGATCCCCTCGACCGAACAGCGGATCTCGGGGACCGCAGCCGGCAGAGCGGTGCACGAGTCGCGGATGCCATAAAAGACGCAAGAAAGGACGGATCTCAGGACTCAGGAGGCCGAATGGTTCCGTATTTGATTAATGCCATCGTGGGAAGGTGCAGGAAATAGTAATGGAACGAGGAAGTGGGCCCTGTAGGCTACGTGTCAAATCCTCTGTTTCACGGTGGTCTCGAGATAACGGTGTGAAAGGGAAGTCAAAGTTCATGTGGCCACCATGCAGTCGCTTTAATGAATCACTAAATTTTATGGGTGCGAGGTAGTGATGGAATGGTAGATTGCGAGAGTTTCAAGGGAGGTGAGGCTAACAAGTCGAATACGTAGCTAACAAGAGTATCAGAAAAAATTAAAAATAAAAAATAAAACCAAAAGGAAAAACAAAGAACATTCTCTATTTTGGGAAATGCTAATGATTTTTTAAAAAAATTGATAAAATCGTCATGAAATTGCAGGTCTGAATTACACGGTGAGATTTTAAAATGTTCAGAATTGCATTATTTCCCTTAAACGTCCATGCAGTTGCAGCCTTGCAGCGTTCTATTTATTGACAGAGCATTCCAGATACAACAGACCGATGCAGCTGTGATCAACGGGAGGCGAATTAAACATAACCAAAATTCGATACCATTTTCTACGCTCAACTTGCATGCTAGGAGCAACAAACAATGGTGTTAAAGTCTCACAAAAAATATGGTTAGATCAGGCCCAGAATTCCCTTCTGGGCTCAACATATACAACGTTTCGGAATCCTTTGAGCCCGCAACATGTTCAAACTGGGCCCGAAAGTATGCCATCTCAGCATCTGATCCGTCCACGTCGGAGTTCCCAGGAAGCACGCCGGCGCCCATGGACACAGCCCTGAGAAGCTCCATTACATGAAGGTCTTCCTCTGCGGCCTCCCTCTTCACGCCATACCCTGTCTTCTTGCCGTTACAGAACATGGTCCACAGAGGCTCGTCCATTAACTTCGTCTTGTCCCTCTCCTGCCGCTTCTCGCATTCCAAAGCTATCCTCACCATTCCTGCGCTCATCTCCTTCTGTAATGCACTCGTTTGGATGGCGAGTTCTATCACCAAGGAAGGTAAACATCTCGAGGTTTCTTGCACAGCGAGGCTTACGCGTCCTTTCCGGTAACCAAATAAAGTGCCGGTGACCTTTGTGGCGTGGGAACTGCGGTGGTGATGGCATTCGAGGTGGGCGTTGGGTAGGGAGGGGAACTTGCAGGAGGGAGTTATGACGGGGAAGGATCGGAAAACGGAACGGAAGGCTCGAAAGACTTTGGCTTTGTGTCTCTTTTTGTGGGCTGGTTGGAGGAGGGTATGGGAACGGGACGGCGGCGGCGGCGGCGCGGGAGGGGTGGAGGAAGAGGAGGTCCGGGTATCGGTGTCCGTAAAGGAAGAAGACCAAGAGGCTTCTGAATGGAGGGATGAAGATCTGAGTTCTCGCATGAGTCTGGGTCGTGGACGAGGGAGGGAACCAGTGCCATGAGAGAGAGGTTTGGGTTTCGGACATAAAGTTTGCCGGCTGAGGATCATTCTTCGGTAGCCTAAATTGTCCATGGTCTCGTTATTTTACCCTATTTTAGCACTCTGGCGCGTTTGGTAATGCTAGTACATGCTTGAAATAGCATGAGCGTTTATTTCTACAAAGATAAGTCCGTTCTTGCGGGGAAGACATTACTGATTCCTCCAGCCATTTGCACATAAACTTTTACTTACAGCGCATCAGATTTATTATGTGGCCTCTGCCGCGTATCTTGATGAATCACGAACCAACTAGTTTCCACTTTCTTGTGCTACGTAAATTGCGGGTTTTCTAATTTGGGGTACGACTGCTAATTTAGAGCGAGAGATTTGCGGAAAGGCTGAGTCTGCTAATTAATTTGAACAAACAACTTCTACTTTCTTATCAGCAGAAAATTAAGCTTCCCGAGGCAAGTGCACCCCAAAAAAATCATGAGGGCATTACGCAATTACGAGAAATAACAATTGGCCGAGTTTTCCCATGTTATGCGTAATTACGCATAAACCGAAGTTACTGAAGTTCACAGGAGATGGGTGATAATAGCCTACAAAAATCTTCACTTACGAGGCAAAAAGAAAAAAGGAGTTCTTACCTACTAAAAATATCAAGACACCAATGATATGACCTCACATTTGTCGAATTTTCCTGTGTACATTTATCTGAGTTCCTTTCGCAGTTTGTGTTGAAGTCCTAAGAGGTGCCATATATAAACCTATATCCACAAAAGAACACCAACTATTGACATGCGAAGACACTCGTGATCTGGATAGCAATCCTGTATGCAATAGTTTAATCCTTGACGAAATTTAAGCGAGACCGGAATTGGAAGTCAGAGACTCAGAACAATTAGCTGCTGTGACATTTTCTGAAGCAGAGGAAAGGAAAGAGAAAAGAGAGGTGAAGGGAATATGGAGGAGCCAAGTGAGGAGGAGAAGAATGGGTGTACAGTCTCACTTGGGTCGTTGCTTCACTTAAACAGAACAAGAATTCGACGCTTGCAATTAATTTTTGGTCCTTCTATGCTATTGTGGTGCTCTTTGATGTCATTTTCTGAATTTTAATTATTTCCCCCATTTAATCTACAAAAAATTCCTAAAAAATGATGAAATATTCAATACCTCAAAATAAGCAATAATCAAAATGCAATTCAATAGGTAAAAGATGCTAAATTCCCACAAAATCATGTAAATAAGCCTATTAAATAAGGGATTCATCAACGCTCCAGTGAAAGAAGACATAGAAGCTGTAACCTTCAGGAAGGGGGCAGGGCCATCCCTGAACACAGGAAGCGGCCAATTTTTCTTTTTCTTTTTTTGGACTTACAGGAGGTTGCCAGATTAACCGCTCTTCTTCTCAAAATTAACAGTACATGCACTTGCTTCCCCAATAATATTCCACATCCTTTCCTTGCTTTTCTAGCTATGTTTTCTAAATTAATTGACTAATTTGAGTATATTAAAGAAGTTTGTTAAGTTAGTTACTTATAATAAATGTGTTATCTTTTCTAAAATATCTTTATTAATAATGTGTATTAGCTAGAAGTCTAAAACTATAACAATGACTATTTTTAAAAAAATAGATAAATATGAGAGATAAAATAAATTAAAATTTTATATTTAGAATCAAATTAAAAATTAAGCTATTTCTTGTAGTAAACACACAGGAAGTAGTATGTAATATTCATAACTTTACTCAATACCTCTTTTTATATGCAATTTCTTCTGTTTTTTTTTTTAATCTTTTGATTGGATTTAACCGTAGCAAATGTCTTTGGAGAAGGTAGTCAAATTTAAATTCTGCAAGCTCCAACTGGCTCGTGAATAAAGGGATATAAACCACTTGATCCGCATTTTCTGCAACGAATCAAACGTCACACTTTCACCTGGTTCTGATCTCAACAATTACAATTTCTCATAAAGCCTAGAGCTCAGTAGATTTTCTCTCTATCCCTAGATGCTCCAACAGAAACTCAAAAATACAAGCGCTAAATAATCCCAACGGTAGGCAGACACAACAAATCAATTCGTGCATCAAGCTTTACAAAACTGTGGCTTCAAGATTTTGGACCAGAATCTATAAAACATCCTGACGCCTTCTTCAAAAAAAAAAAAAAAGATCTTTCCGTTGAGCAGGGACAGCAAATGGCACGAGAGCAGAAGCCAATGGTAGGAACACGAGCAAAGTAGCATAGAATAAAGATCGGCGAATCCAATATGGGAAAATTTTATTCCTTTCGGTTGTTTGTGGCGCGCCGAGAGGTCCATAGAGGATTCGGAAAAAATTGTGTGCACAGGCAAAGAATCTCCGAATTTAAAAGCCGGACATCACCTCCCCCCCCCCCCAAAAAAAAAGCATCCACCCTTAACAACAAATGATTAAGATCATTAGGGTTGATGTGGATGCTCGTTGGACAAGCAGATATGTTATTGCAAATATCATAAACACACCCAATGCTAATTCAGTTCAACATAACTTGAACATGATACTAGAAAATTAGATAAGGTCATTAGAACGAATTGTGTCTTCTTCAATTCCAACTTTTTCATTGTCAGACAAATTTCTAATTCTTTGAGGTCATTAGAACGACTTTGTTCTGCCACAGATTTCTCAAAAATTCCAATCACAAGGAGTTTTATATATTTATATCCGCTACCAACGCAGAAGTGGTTGGAGAAAAACGAACTATTTGGTCTGATTAGTCATCCGCAGTAAGATCTCTACTAACTGGGTCCATAGTAAAGTTCTCCTTGACCTCTTCGTCATGGCTTGATTGATCTGGGATTTCAATGTGTGATGCTGTCTTTGGATGGACATCCTCTGTGACCACATCCCTGGAGCGATGTCCTTTGTCAAGAGGAAATTTGGAAGCTGGAACTTCCATCCTTTTAGTATTGAAGCTGTTGTTATTAGCTTTGTTACTTGCAGATGAACCATAAATTGGTCCAACAGTGCTCAGAGTGATACTGAAAGATTGGTCTAAGGTTCTTGCTAAACCATCTAGCTTTTCTCCATGAACCTGCGGCCAATAGGTAGTCAAAACTTGAGCATTGTAGCCACTTTATCAGAGAGCACTCAAGTATTGTTGACATGAACGGCTAGAGAAATGTCAAGGCGAATATAAAGTTATATGGCCTTTCCCTTTCATTGTATCAATCAATTGATCCATTTACCCAAAAAAAGACAGCTTTCTCCTGTTATCAGCCGGATGATTTTAATGTGATACTACTTCCAATCCTTAATATAAGACCTTATTTGATTTTTAGTTTGGTTCTAAGTATATGACCCCAATCCACTTTGTCTCTCATATTTATGTGTTTTTTCCCAAGGTGATTCTTCTAACAATGGTAGTTCTAATCAATACATTTGATTAGTAAGAATATTTTAGGAAAGACAATACCTATTTATTACAAATAACTAACTTAACTTCTTTCCTTAATCTTCTTAAATGAGTCAACTAACTCTTATAATTAGGACCGAAGGTAGTATTATATTTTTGTGACATCATACTAATTATCACAATCTAAGATTAAGAATCCAAGTCACCTATCTTTATAAATGAACACAGTATGGTCGATGAGTGCATAGACCTCCAAAGTCGAAGTAATAGTTTAGTATGGAGACGATGACAAAGATGGTTATTCGGAGACATTCAAAGCCTCCTCCTTCTTCAGTAAAGCTTTCTTCTTGAGTTTTCTGTGGGGAAAATTGTCGACTTGAGATGAGAGTGATTGACTCAGAATTAAAGACGGTGGTGCACTTATCCTCCATGCAATTTCATTGCCGAGGATGGGGTAAGAGGAAAGAGCATCCACGAGTCTTCAGAGATGATAAATTCAAAGTGCGAAAGTTGAACGTTATTCGTCGTTGCCTTTTCTGATTCTGGCCAGGATCCTAATCACATTGCTTGGTCGGGGCTACAATGTAGAATCGATACTTTTAATTATGATAAATGGAGGTGGGGAGGACGTAAGACAGATTCAATAAATGAATAGGGTTGCTTTGAAAACCCTAGAAGCATTTATAAAATACTCCCTCTATTCCTTATTATAAGAGACACTTGATACTTATGCCATGTTCCTATATATAAGAGACACTTACAAGTTGTCTCTACTTTTTTGTGTTGATTTACTATTTTACCCATATTTATTATTTCCAACTCACACTCTCTCTCCCTTCCACTTCTCTTTCTTTTAATAATTTAATTGTTCTCTCTCATGCTCTCTCTCCTTATTAATGAGGGCATTTTTGGAAAAAAAATTATACTTTTTATACATTAATTGTTCTTAACTAACTTTAACTGTTTTTTTGATCAACGTACTTCGGTTATTTGTCTCTTATAATAAGGAACGGAGGGAGTAAGTGTTTTTACACCAGAGACAAAATTCTTCTCATCTTACCTTAAATACCGTAAAATTATTCTGAAAAACTGATCTATACAGTCGCTAAGTTTTTATATCATTATATATAAACATCTTTATTGCTAATAAAAATATAACAACATAAACTCATTAAGGAGACAAAAATTAACTAACACCGGGATTCATTTAATATCGAAAATAAATGCAAAATTTATATAGATTTTTAACTAAGCCTTCATTTATCATGCAGATTAAAAAAGAAATCTGATCTTATATAATGCTTTAGTGTGAGGGCAAAAAGCATCCAATCCCAAAACAATATAGGTTACATTCAAAGAACTCAACTGTATCCTGTTCTATTGTTTAAAAAAGTTCACACAATGATGTCGTAAAAGTTGGTCGTCGTGGACTCTTTGATGACGAATTATCGGTGAACAACTAAATTAATGTCAGTTGTGGCATTAAAGCATTGTTCAAGGTAACTTGATCATTTATCTTGAATAGAAAAATACGAATAAAAAACTTTGGATGGCCCAACGTTGCAAAATGGCTCCACCAACTGCCTTATGTCGCTTTATCGCCACCATTGTTTGTTTTGAATAATCAAGGTAAAGATCAATATAGAGTGGCATAAAACAAGAATTCCTTCATCAATGAAGCAGCAGCATAGCATGCCAAACTCTTGTCTTTTTGTTGCTTCCTGTTTGAGTTCTACCCATCTTTGAATACTTTATGCGATGATCATGGAGAAATTAATTACTAGTACTTCATCAAAGCAGAGAATCAGAGCGCCAATCTTAGATGCATTATTTCAGTAGCTAGTTAATTTACCTTTTTTTCCTTGAGGTACAAGGATACAAAATCCTAATCTGTTGACTTATCTTTCAAATTAAAAGCATATATGTAACTAGAGGCTTTCAAGCAAACATAAAGTGATTCGTCCCCTGCGCAGCTTAATCAGCAATAAGAGTTATAAATTCTTAGTTCTTTCCATCACATCTCTACGGTAGAGACTCTACCATTCAACCCTGTAACGCAGGTTTCCATCTGCGTCGTTATGAACTGCATTCTGGGCAATAGCTATGCTCATGGGGTTCTCTCTGAAGCCAGTGAGCCCTCCTATCTCTGCAAAGCTCTTTGGAGCAACCTCAGGCATAACAGAGTAAAACGCACCATTAAAACCGGCAAGATCTGATTTAGCTGACACAGAATTAGCCAGCCTGTTGAGCTCGGCGACCCCGTCATTTGTTTCTGCCTGAGCCTGATCTTCTTGCCTGGTACCAACACAACTCTTGTCTCCCTCTGTTTCCCTGTAGTTGTTGAGGTACACCTTCAAGGGTCCAACATAGTTCTCGAACCCCAACGTTGTCATAGCCCACAGAAGATCGTCGCCGTTGATTGTCTTCCTCTTCTCTCTCTGGCACTTGTCGGATGCTTCACCCGTGATGAAGCTTATGAACTCAGACACACATTCCTGAACTGTCTCTTTCGCTTCCTTGGAGATTTTGGCATTAGCTGGAAGTGCCCTTTTCATGATACGGCTAACGTTGGCGATGGGGAGGAACCTGTCTTGTTCTTTGGAAGAGCTGTCTGAGATGTTCCCAGAAGTTGGGCTTCCCACAGGACTGGTTTGGTTATTTCTCTTCCCTGCCATGTCTGGAACAAGATTTGGAACAGAGAAACCTAGGCTAAAGATGGGTTGGGTTGTGTCTGAGCGCAGGTAATGAGGCTCTTAATAAGCCAAGGCTAGCACAAGTGGGAGGAGATATAAAATAAGTGTCAAAAGAAAAAGGGAAAAAGGGCGATTGGGTGTTAGAATAGATGGGAAGAAAGCACAGCGAAATGCGATGAAGGCTTTCTCCAAGGATGGCCTTTTATATGCTGCAATTCTCTCCCTCCATCAGAATTAAATAATCTAATTAATAGTACACAAATGGGAGAGATATAGTTTTAAGGTTTTTCTGGGGGGTCCATATGGAGGTCATGTACGTGTTTTGAGAATTATTGGTTTATTGAAGAACCTAGGCCTAGATACATGTTGCTAGAACCATTAGTTTATGCCTCCTCTATTACTATTGGTGGGAGAGAATTATGACTGGAAAGGGTCAATGGCGGCAATATCCTTCAAATAATTTTCAATTTCAACTAATTCGATGTTGTGAAACTTGGAACTTAATAATGATCGATGTTGCTGGATCCAGCTCAAAATCGTGTTTCCCTTGGGGTTAATCCCCAATTTTTCAGTATACATCTATATGTCTCGATCTTAGGACCATCTTTTGTAGCTTCTAGAGAGAAATGCTTTTTGAGGGAGAGAAGAGTAATAGGTCCTATTCATAATATCTCATTTATAGACGGTAAAAGAAATCTTATAATTAGGACCAGATATAATAGTATAATAAAAACGAGATGTCAAGGCGGTTATTATTCAATTTAGAGTTAAAAGCCAAAGGATGAGAAGATGATTATGGGAGACGGATCGCTACAAGACCGTATGCTTTATGTTAATTGGGGTAGGATTTTTCATTGGTTTAGAGCTCAAAACCAGAACTTATAACGTGAATTCTTCGTACCAGTGCATATAGTATAGTTTTGGTACGGTTGGAAAAAGAATTCAACAGGATAAGAGGCACTAGCATTTGTGCTCTCTACTTTTTTCCATTGCTTTGTCTCTCATCGATCACATCAGGATCATCTCAAGGCATCTCCACCCTCAGTCCCCAATTTTCTACTTTTCTGCCAGACTCGGTGCGACCATAAGAAGCTGATGTTCAGCTAAATTAGGATCAGTGAAGGAAATTACACGAAAACAACTCCCCTTGGAATATGTTGTCAAGTCTCACCAGAAAAATATCAGAATTTTGAGCACAAAAGCTATCGAACAGGCTTCTGACATGTGCAGCCCTGCGGAGCCTCATCCGCCATGCATTAATTTTAAAACGCGCATATACTGAACCGGCTCTTAATTGCGCTTCTCTTTGGTCTTGTTCACATCTATCAGGGGAATTTAAATGAATAAATTAAAGTACGTCCTGAGAATTCACTGTTCTTCTTGCACTATTTTTTTCTTGTTTGACTAAGTCGAGTCAAAACTACAATCATTTGTGATTAAGAATAAACCGGTGTGATACCTACTTTTTGCCATTAAAAGCCTCTAAACCAGGACAAGCTTGGTGTGTGTTTGAACACGTGTTTTTTTGCACAAGCTGCTATGAAAAGGTACAACTTTCGATTCTAAATATAAGAATTAATTGACTAATTTAAATTGATTAAGAAAATAAGTTAAGTTAGTTATTTGTAATAAATAGGTATTGTTTTTCTTAAAATATTTTTACTAATCAAGTTTATTAGCTAGAACTACTATTATTAGAATGACTATTTTGAAAATAAATAAATAAATATGAGAGACAAAATAGATTAGGATCGTATATTTAAGATTAAAATAAAAGTTAAACAAGATTTTATATTAAAGACCGGAGGAGGTAGTAGCATATATATCTACACAGATGGAGTTTGGGGTGTTGTGTCCAAATAATACACTCTTGATTGCTGATGACAAGGGAACCAGAAAAATTACCTAATAATGTGCGCCCTACCTGTGGTTGTTGAGAAGAAAACCAGCATGCACGCATATATATACAAACACGTATATGTATATATACATGTCATAATGATCCATCTGTATATAATACTGATCTTGAAGTTAAAGTAGGCAGGCTAGCTTGCATACAGTAGATGCATATGAAAGTAATAAGTTTTTGCTAAATCCAAAATCATTGCCTGTTTAAGTTAAAAAAAACAAATCTCTTGTTTCGAGTTTGGTGAAAGTAGCCTTAGGTTGGTGAAAGTTGAGTGTTATAGATTAATTACGGCGCGCGTTCATCCATATTGTTTGATAGATCTGTGTGGGGTTAGTTGTTGATACAGCCACGTCGGCACGGCCGGGCATGAGGAGTGAGATAACTCATAACGTCATGGATTTATGACTGGGAATAGCATATGCGCTTGTGCTTATGGTGGATGCCCTGGGATTATTGACAAGTACTAAAAACAATTTGCAGAAGTTGAAACTACGTTGCCCGTCTTACTTGCATATATAGTTTATTACTACTTCATTTGTTTATTTGCAACTATCTGCAAATCTGACTATTGCCGGCTTTTGGTCTTTTGCACAGATTGCTCGGAAGTCAGCTAACATCGCAATCGCATTGCATGGGAAGGCGAAAAAAAAAAAGGAGAAACAGAGAGATGGTATGCGATTGATGGCACAAAACTCGAGACAAATTACAGCAGATAATAAAAACAATCTGCAACATGAAATCAAGCACGTATTGAAATTAACAAGTGTATTTGCAGTGATAATAAAGAACGGCGGCCTAAAAATAACACTTCTGCCATGGGGCAAATTGCAGCAAATGCAAGTTTTTGTATTTTTATTTTCTTTGGGTAGTATCCCAAATTGCTCGGGGTCACCGCAGCAAACGAGTTAAGGATTTAGCATGATATCTTTGCACGCAATTGCATATAATGTATTGCACCTAAAAAAAATTGCATATAATGTATGTATTCATTAGTCTGCAAAATGGATAATACAACCTAATAATTCTTTTTGTTTTTCCTCAATTAATTATTTTTTGGTTGACCTCGCTTAAGTTTGATGATATTTGGGGTATGCGCGCATGTTACAACCTAATGATTATTGAAATTTATGAATTTTAAAAAAATCATATTGTCAAAAGAATTATTAAATCCTAAAAGTAAGCCTTAAAACCCTAAATTTAAGGTTTTAACCAATAGTCCTTCAACCGAAGATATTCATAAAATTTAAAAATTGAAAAAGGCTCAATTTGGGTTTAAAGCAGATCGGATATTTTTTATTGGGCCAATCATAATGGGTCAAACAATAAAGCCCAATCTCTTAGGAGCCCATCTAGCAACCCAAATATCTTCGAACGGCCTCGTCCCTTTTTTTTTTTTGGGTGAAGGAACGGCCTCGTCCCTTAGTGAAACCGCAAACGGGCTCCCGAACACGTAAGCTTAAAGCGTACAAACAAATTCCACGCCAGCTAAAGCCTCCCGGCGCCTGCAGAGCCGTTGCGTGGCTCACTTGAGCCCGGGACAAACCGCGAAACTCATTACCAATGAAAGTCTCCCATACCTCGATGGCTCATCTTAATGCTTGCCACGTGTCCTCTTTATCTCCACCCTTTCCCTCCTTCCCTTCTTTTCTCTTTCTCCCTTCCCTTGTTCCTTGTCTGTTTTCATTTTTACTCTGTCTGCTTTCGCATTTCTGTCTTGCTTGCTTCCACCCTTCCCACTGTCCCATACGGTTCCACTTCGGCTCTTCCCGTCCGTTTCTATGCACCTAAACCGCCATGAAAGTTAGGTTTATAGTTTGATTCTGACCATCCTAATAAGTATCAATTATGGCTTCGGCTGCTCTACCGTTACCGCCACTCCATTTTCTTTCCTCACAGATTACTCCTCGACGTCGTCTTGCTGTCTCTAGGTTTTATACGGTTGAGTCTATTTCTGGGCGCACGAGGTACAGGGTGGCTATTCGTACGCGAATCCGCGCCAGCAAAGAAGAAGCGGCTTTGCTTGAAGAGAGAGAGAAGGAATTAGTTGAGAGAGTAAATGATATAGAATGGAGTGGCAATGGAGCATCTGGTACTAGCGGGAGTAATTATGGTAGCAATGGATCCATAAAGGGATACGTTAATGGTAGCTTGGGCGTGGTAGAGAGTGAGAGTGGGATCAACAACGGAAGCTTGGTGAAGTATGTGAATGAAAACGGTGCAGCGGCGAAAATTGTGGAAGATGTCGAAGCCTCCGAACTGAAGGAGGATGGAAGGAAGAGAAGGATAGAGGAGATTGGCAATGAAGAGGCCTGGTTCAAAAAATCTGGGGCAGACAAGGTCGAGGTACGAGTCTTCGATGTTGTTTGATGCTCTGGGCTCTGATTATCATCGCTTTATTTGAGACTCCTTTAGTTAGACGGAGATGTGAATTTTGCAGGTCGCAGTTGCACCTGGAGGCCGTTGGAGTAGATTCAAAACGTACTCGACAATTCAGAGAACCTTGGAAATTTGGGGATTTGTGATAACATTTATCTTTAAGGCTTGGTGGAACAACCAGAAGTTCTCTTACAAAGGTTCGTGAGCTGTATATTGTGATTATTGTGAGCTTTGGAGTGGGCATTATGTGCCTTACAAACTAATTCATTTTCTCTGAGTCCTATAGAATATAGATCGCTATGAACTAAAATTCAGGAAGTAGCTGTAAAAGTTATAGCAGGTTAATTATGCTTCTTGCTACACAATTAACTTCGCCTCAACAGTTAACCTCACTGACATCATGAAATTGTTTCTTCGGGGGATGGTCTAGTTACAGTGTTCATTTTATTTATTATCCATACTTCATGTTTTAAGACTTTATACTAACGACAGATAACTCTTGCGATACATGAAGTGTTTTTCACCGAAATTCTTTTGGGGCATTGATTCAAAGTCATTATTTGCAGGAGGAATGACTGACGAAAAGAAAACCTTGAGACGAAAGACCCTTGCCAAGTGGCTGAAGGAAAGCATTCTGAGACTAGGTCCAACTTTTATCAAAATTGGCCAGCAGTTCTCCACAAGGGTGGACATTCTTCCACAAGAATATGTTGACCAATTATCGGAACTACAGGTCTTTATTTTGAACGCCATTTTTAAGATTAATTCTTGGAATGAAATATCATGAACTTGCTTTTGTTGTGTCACCTTTTTTATATTTTATTATTGATTATACGTTGTCATCTACACT